GCAGTCTCGAATACCACGCTGTGAGAGAGAGTGGACGAGCAGCGCCCTTGCCGACAATGGGAGGAGATGTCACTAATCGAACAATTATGAACCTTTAGCTCCCTTGCCATGCACCTATGAAAGCAGAGTGGAATACTTTTTGAGCGGTTCTGCCCTCTGTACATGTAAGGATGTCCTTCACTAGGTAATTGCACAATGTGTTCTTGAGATTGGAGGAATATATGATTAGCTAAAGCGCCAGCAGAACTGTTCTGATATTAAGGACCTCTGGAATTGTTTGACACCTCATTGTCGTCGTAAATATACGACGACGATTTGATCGCATCAGAATTGGGACAACTCATTCATAGAGTTGCTATCTCTTCACCCAGCAGTTGGCCTAAGCTAATCAGGCACGGGTTCGGGTTGTTTCACATTGTCAACTTCATTACGGGGGAGTGTCAATGAAGAAAAAATTTATTGCATAAAAAGAAAATTGAATTGTTAATGAGGTGTTGACATACAAGTAAACAAACACGTCAGAATGAGTTGAAAAAGATCATTACAGTTGAGGATAGGATCGTATCAATGGAAATTACATGAGGATTTCACACTGGGGAGCATTCAAAACACATGGTTCGTAAGTCATGAGAAATGAAACAGCAAGAATGAATCTTATTTTAAATAGCTAAATCTGGGAGTCCACGAGTATGAACGCAAAAGGAGAGACAAAGAAGAGGAAAGCTCTCCGAGGTGAAGCCCACGCTGAACTTTTGGCGGAGACAGCCAATCTTCTTCACAGGGGCGCTTCCTATTTTAATAGACGAAAAAGGAAACGCGCGTCAGTGAGAAAGGCACTACGGGTGACCGTCCTCGCCCACGTTACCAGCGTGGACTATGCCTTTAACAATATCCATCACCTTTGCGACGTCAAAGTTCCCTCTTCTATGAAACCTGTGTAATTTCTTGATGTCATTTCAACTATGAGCCTGATATCTACTCAGGTAGTAAACGTCATATTTGCTCAACAGATCAATGAAAGTGTCTTAAATACATAAAATTGATGAGACCTTTGGTGTGGATAGAGACATGCACTAAATATCAACAACAATTTGACAGCAATATTGTGCAGTCGGATACTATACTCTACAAGTTTTGCAGCTTCTTGTATCCTTCTAACTTCTTTAACATTCGTCGCTTCTGAGCACATCGAAGACGGCACAAGGCGAACAGCTCTATGTCTTTTTGAACGGCGCACTCTGAGTCGCAGCCAAGCAGCTGTAAAATCAGCAGATTAATGATCCAATGAAGGTACTCCCAGTGCACGATTAACACTACAAGGAGTACCACTCAAATGCATTCTCATAACTAATAGGAGGAAGGAGCAATGATCACTGCAAACGATTGTGCGTATGAAGGGGCGTGTTTGGGGCAGCGAGAAACGAGTTTTTCCCGCCGATTGCTGCGGACTTAGGATGACACCACTGGTGGAGGCCTTGGCACTACCAGTCCATGCTCATTCCTTTGCAATACGGGTGTATGTTGCCGCGAGCTTTTTCAACCCATGCAGGTTCTAGGCCATTCCAGGTTCAAGGTGGAAGTGGTGATCACTCTGGGAGTATGACGCCATTGAAGCGGCTTCTGCTTGAACTTTTGAACATGGTCCCTGCAGAAACCCTGTAGTGCAGACAAAAGAGGGCGTCAGCTGCAGAACATGGACCTGTGCAGATAAATTCACCGTAAGCTAGGATGTAGTCTCCTTCTAGATGAAGACTTGAGGATGGATCAGATATTTATCGTACGTGAGATAGCGGGCGAGGAAAGAAAATTGACGCTCCAAGAGGAATACAGTTTAAGTTGTCCTTGGACCTATTCCAGGTTGATCAACCCTCGCCGAGGCGGCTTTTAGCAACGCGAGCCAGTGTTGTGCTCAGCTGGGACCTTTGGGTAATAGAGTGCCTTGGGAAGTACTGAAACGTTTAAGACGACGAGAATGTTCATATCAGGCCTTGGGTTAAGACACCGGAAGTTGCCCGAATGCCTTCCAAAGATAGTCAACGCAGACCCAACAAAGCCTCCCGCTTTCTAAGACTCGGAGGAAGACGGGCGAAGAAATGCATGTTGTTTTCTGTAGGTTCGTAGGCCTGTATGTCTTTCTGAGTTTATCTTTAAGAAAAGCAAAAATTATAAGGTGCTCACCTGTTCTTTTTTGAGAAGACATCCGTATGCTTTATATGGCACCATGCAATCGTAGCATGGATTAGAATCCGTTGATGATTCGCTGCAGCTTACCAGACATCGTTCAAATATGGCTCGACGTTCAGCTTCGGCTGGTGTTTCGTACTGAAAGCATTCTTACTGTGGTTAGATAAGTAGAGAAAATTTTGAAAAATGCTCACTTTTAGAAACATTGAAGAGAACTGAACACCTCCTCCCGCGGTAGGGAGACTGTGAGCCACTCGTGGCTTCCTGTTCTCTCTCCTTGACCACTCAGTTTTCTTTGTTTTGTCACCCTTTCACGAATCAATCCACCGGTCTTGCGCGAACCCCACCCCTTCTTTCTCGATCGCACACCACAAGCTCAGCTCCCACAGCTCCTCCCGTTTTTTCGATCGATTTTTCAAATTTTGTTCTATACTTTAGTTCTGCGACTTCTTTTTTGCACTTTTGCTATTTCGTACACCAATGCACACCAACTGATTAAGGGCCTACATATCGACCACCAGTTCATCCGATATGACCCCGCCCACTTTTGAGGGATTTATTGCAGATTTCACATTTTATAACGTTGTTCAACGATGTTGTTTCTACCCTCACTCTTCACATATCGAATGAACTGGCAATCACGCATTTATACCATTTTCAGTTAAATCGGACACTTTTCAAACCAAATCGGACACTTTTCAAATCAAATCGGACACACCCCTTACAAGGGCAGTTGATAACTAGACCACACTAGGTACTGCTGCAAGCCCCGCCCCAACACCCCGCCCACTTCTTAGCGCGGCCGTGGTTTTCCAAATGTTTTATGAATTCTGCTTCTTCGAATTTTTTTCACTTTTGCTACTTGGCACACATTTAACTGAATAGGTTTGCTACCGACACATATATGACTCCGCCCACTTCACAATGAAGTGACGTAAGTTCTGAATTTTTATAACTTTTTTCGACGTCTTTTTTTCACATTCAATCTTCACAAAACGAATATAGGCATGCATTCAGCACACTAAGCCCCCCCCCCTCTGACCACGCCCACTTTCGTTTTTCGCGGAATTTTGATTTTTCTTCCGAATTTTCACTTTTTAGGCTGTGACAAGCGGCCCCGCCCACTAATGGAAGCTCCGCCCACTTTGTAGAAGCCCCGCCCACTTTTCAAAAATGATGCAGATCGGCGAGCTAGTGACCGTACTGGCAGGTTATGGCCTCTCCCGTCACCCGGAACAAAGTTTCCTTTTTTCTGGTCTTTCCTTTTTTCATTCTATGTGACGGGAGAGGCCATAACCTGCTAGTACGGTCACTAGCTCGCCGATCTGCATCATTTTTGAAAAGTGGGCGGGGCTTCTACAAAGTGGGCGGAGCTTCCATTAGTGGGCGGGGCCGCTTGTCACAGCCTAAAAAAGTGAAAATTCGGAAGAAAAATCAAAATTCCGCGAAAAACGAAAGTGGGCGTGGTCAGAAGGGGAGGGGGGCTTAGTGTGCTAGCGTGTGAATTATAATTTATCCAGTTGAATGTGTGTGTCAAGTAGCAGAAGTGAAAAAAATTCGAAGAAGCAGAATTCATAAAACATTTGGAAAACCACGGCCGCGCTAAGAAGTGGGCGGGGTGTTGGGGCGGGGCTTGCAGCAGTACCTAGTGTGGTCTAGTTCTCAACTGCCCATTGTAAGGGGTGTGTCCGATTTGATTTGAAAAGTGTCCGATTTGGTTTGAAAAGTGTCCGATTTGGTTTGAAAAGTGTCCGATTTAAAGTGAAAATGGTATATATACTGAGCGCCGGGCCACAGCGCCTATAGCCACGCCAACTGCAATCACCAGCGTCTATCAGCGTCCACAGGGCGCCCCGTGCCACAACGCCTAATCCTGCTGTCTGCTCCCTCCTAAGTTCAGACTCTACTCCTGG